TAACTTTCGTTTGGGTCCCATATCTAATAATTGAGATATCGGTATACCCAAAATCCACCAGACGCCACTGATGTGTGGTATTATTTGATTTTAAGATATTTATAATATGCTCAAAGTTGCAATAAATCTTATTTTTTCCCATAAATTATGTATTTAATTAGTACCCTGGTATACTTGTCACTTCCCTTGCATTCAAATTTAGAAAACACAGATATTTCAGAAACTGTTTAAAAAAGTGACTGGCCTGGTCTGGAACAGTATATTTATTATATTATCTATGTTTTCATAACAAAATACTGTTTAACTTTCTCCGAAAATTATATAAACAAAATAAGGTCAAAAGTTGCCCAACTTTTGTAGAATCACCCATATAACAAATAAACATAGTGTTAAAAAAACGTATATTTTTCTTCGGTTGGTAGTACGGTAATAAACAGCAAGTTGTCTTGCCATTGCTGACTGTAAAACAACATGCAATACGGCCTTGAAAACTTGATGTCAAGAAAAATTGCTGCAAGAAGAATTGCCGGCTGTAATACGGCCTTAACAAATTAAAGGCATGCATTTATACCGTCAACTGGATTTACTAGACAAGAGAAATGCAGTGCTTAGAAAAAGACGGCAAAATAAAATAGACTAGACGAAGCCACGCGACGGCGACGAGGCGACAAACAAAGTGATGGAAATTTTGCCAGCCAAATTAGCCAAACACCCCACTGTGCGGGGTCTAAATTTGTTCGAGAGCTTGCTGAGATTCAAAGAGAAGAGCTGTGATTTTAATAACAAGCAAAATGGAAGGTACTTGAATAATAAGTTTGAAATGCGAATTCATTTAGTCGAGGACTCTTAATCACCCCAATGGCATTTGAAATAATGGTTTGAAACTGAAACTGAAAAATAAATTTGTGCCCTATTTTTAAAACAAAAAAATATATATTCTATTTTCATTTTAAATCAGACTATTAGTCCATATTGTTAACAATATACCATACCATACCATATACAATAATTGTTTTAACCAAAAATATTTATATTTTCAACTTTTGAAATATGACAGCTAAACGCTCGGACATGTTAACATAATTTTTGGTCGTAAAAAAGTTTTTCCTATTGGCAATCCGATCCGAGGACACACTGGTATATTATAATTTGTAAAATAATATATTTCACCTCTTGTGCCAAAATTTCTATACTTTTTATTTTGTTCTAAATAATATAATATATACGTAATTATACTCAATAAAATTAAATAGCAAAAAAACATTTTGAATTTCCTAAATTAGAATTTGTTTTTTTTTTTAATTTATACAGGGTGTTTCCTAATGGGATACTCTAAAACTTAATTAATGTCTTTGAAACCCAGTAAGGATTTGTAATCTACGACCAAAAATTAATTATATGTGTCGGAGCTAAACAGCTGTGATATTTTTACCTTCCTTCAGTGTAATTAATTCTATTCAAATGTCCTATTTTTTATTATTACAACTTTTAATTTAAAAGAATATACATTAATTTTTTCCAAAATTTTTTTATTAATATTAAAATTTTATATTAAAGTACGAAAATTCCCAGAAAACTTTTAAACATTTCTGTGAATTTTTATAAAAATATATACCGGGTGTATCTGAGAATAGGCGCACCCCTGTAACTTTTTTATTTATACAGATAGACACATAAAATTTAGCATGGTTAATTAGGATATAAAATTCCACTTATAAGAGTACAAAATCAATTTTTTGAACTTCCGGTTTCTCCGGAAATGATATCAACTTTCGATTTTTAAATGAAACGCCCTATATATTTTTACATATTTAGAATCCTGAGAAAATTCTGAGTCGGACAGCATCCTAAAATTGACCTTTCGACGTTTCGTCATCAGAAAATGCATCATCATAAATATCAATCTAAAGTCAAGTCAAATCCAAGCCGAACTCGACATAAACACAATCATGCGTTGTCCATGCTCTATTCACGTGATCGACGAAAATTGTTGCACTGGGCCGTATTAAAATATATTGAATCAATATTATTGATCATTTAATATTTTAAATTTATTTTTTAAACTTTGATGGAAAGGTGTTAAAATATTTATAAAAGTTATATTTTTTAAATTACGAAATTAACAAAATTTTGGGAAATAATTTCATTATTATTTTAAATTTATTTTTTTAAACTTTAATGTAAAGTTTTTAAATTTTTATAAAAATGATATTTTTTAAATTAACTTCACGAAATTTTTGAAAATTATTTTAAATTAATTGTTTTAAACTTTAATAATTAAAGTTTAATGTGAAAGTTTTAAAACATTTAAAAAATATGTTTTTTTAAATTACAAAATTAACAAACATTTTTGAAAATGTTCAGCTTCGTCTGTGCTAGACATCGCACTTAATTGAATAATATCAATAAAAACCAAATAACCACAACAATGATAGCAATAACAACAACAATAACAACAAATAACGTTATATAACAAGTATTAATAATAAAACAATAACAAAAATAACCACAAAGATGAAAGCCGCGAAAACAAGGAAGTAATCAAACAATACGCTATTAATAACCGCAATGGACATAATGCGGCCCTGACAAGAATTTTCGGCACGCTTTACAACTCAGACTCGCCCAATAAGAACCGTTCTATCCACCTGCAAACGACTGATCACGCGTCTGGCGTTTTTTGTTTTAGTTTGTCTTGGATTTGACTTCACTTTAGAGTGCTTTGAACTATTTGAGAAAAACGAATTTTGACAAGTTTGGGGCCGTTCATTAATTACGTGAGGTGTTTAGGGGGGGGAGGGGGTCGAGCCAAACCTCACCAAATCTCACGTGGGGGGAGGGGGTGTCTCGGCAAATATCACGTAATTTTTTTTCCGAAAGAAAAAATTTAAAATTGCTAGAAAACTGGGTTAAATTAAGTAAACAATTATAAGCAAATTGTTTTTTTTAATAAATCTAATGGAATTAAGCACAGATTACGGTCTAATATGTTCAAATGGTCACAGCGCTTGTTTAAAACCAAAGTTTTCGATACTCTATTTATGGAGCAGCAATGACACTCTTAATATTTATTTAATGTCTATTTGGGTTTATTTTTAAGTTATTGTAAACTTGGTATTTCTACTTAGCATAATTGTTTTTTTTTGTTATACATAGCTATTATTTTAATAATATTGTAGCCGGTATAGCTGGCATTTTTTGGTTGAATGTAAAAATGAATTTTTACATTTTTAATGTTAAAATTAAAATTCCGCCATTTGGAATAATGTATTTCCTTATTTCAATAAAGACGTTTATTATTATTATTATTATTATTAACTTATTTACATTAAAACGATGCATTTTAGCACGTGAGATTAAGGGAGGGGGGAGGGGGTCGAGCAAAATCTCACGACATCTCATCAAGGGAGGGGGGGGGTCAAAAAATCGCCAAAATTGTCTCACGTAATTAATGAACGGCCCCTTTAGACTGCTGGGAATAGCTGAATAACAACTTTCTAAGGTAAGTTCCATTTTTTAGGCATTGTGTGAATCCATTAGAAGAAAATAAGATAGTTCAAAGCACTCTAGATTGATCTTTATGATGATACATTTTCTGATGACGAAACGTCAAAAGGTCAATTTAAGGATGCTGAGTAGTCGGATTCTCCCAAAAATCTGTATATAGAGGTTTTTGGGGTCGATGATAACGAATCTGGAATCCCAAAATTCAAAATGGTAGATCCAAAATGGCGGACATATTTGTCAAAAAATTGACGGAATAAATTGAAAATCACCATACAGGGGTTTTTGTGATCGCTGGTAATGAATCTGGAATCAGAATCATAATGGTGGACCTCAAATGGCGGACATTTTTATCAAAAAATTTAAAACGTAAATAAAACATCTTTTTATAAAATAGCCTAATTTAGTTTATTATTATTACATTTATATATTAAACAATTGTGAAAGTCTAGAAACCGCTGCAGCGCGCTGTTGTTTGTAATAAACGTTTTGAGTTAAATCCGAGTGAATCAAGTAAAGGTCATGAACGCAACCCAGAAATAAAAAAAATCTTATATTTAGTAAAGCAAAAACACAGATACGCGCGCGACATAGGCTTAAAATCGCGAGGTTTTTTACCACAACCGTGCCTGAGGGTCCAAGAACATGTAGTTTCAAAGAGCCGGGGGCGAGTTGGGGCAGATAATTTATTGATGGCTTGATAGACATAACTCTAAGCTATTCAACGGATCTTGTAGTGATGCCTTACAATTCATTACAATTTTTGTAGCTCGATTGTTCTAAAAGCTCGATTCAAAGTTTGTGATTTTAACAGACCGATCTTTTCGGTTACAATAACCCGTTGTACAAGCAAAATCTACGAAAAACAAATACATATCTGAATTTTACTTACCTTGAAGATCACCCTTCATCAAACCGCATAACAATCGGACACACCAAACACAAGTTATTCACTTTTAAACAATAAACAATTTTTCGCAGCGATCGCGTGTAAAGTACCTTCAACTGAAAGCGTCAAGTTTAAACCGATGTACAAGACAAAACATACGTATTTTATATAATCTTTTTTCAATACAGGATGGAGACAGGTATTAACTACCCATCTAACTCAAAATTTACCTGAAAAAAAATGACAATTTTTGAGGTTTTGCCGATATTTTCGAGAATTGAAACACTGTGCGGCGGGCAAATATATAATAACAGTATACTTAGACACTTCCTACATTCAAATGACATTTGATTTGATCATCAAATGACATTTGATTTAATCATCAATATTAACTATTGGTATTATTAAATGTGATTTCGGATAAAATTTAATATGCACCTCGGCATTAAAGTCATTTTTTATCACGCACGTGGTTATTTGCCTCAGCTTTCACCGCGGCAAATAATTTCCACATTCATGATAAAAAATACGACTTTACTGTCTTGATACATAAATAACTATTAATTCCTATTTTTTTTAAATTATATTAAATAATTTTTTTTTTCAGAAAGGTTCAACTGCTCTACATATAGCATGTAGTTTAGGTAGTAGAGGTATCCTTGATGCTTTACTTCAACATGGAGCTATGTTGGATAAACAAAATAAGGTGAGTAAAAATTAATTAATAAATTATCATTTACAATTTTTAAATAACAAATTACCTATATTATTATTATTATTATTATACCTAAATGGTGCACCATGAAAGGACAGAAAATATGTTTTTTCCATAAAATTTAAACCCTATTTCAAACTTGAATTCAAATTAGTAAATTGTAAATTAGAAGAGGGTAAAATGAGTATCCCATTATTACAATATTAAAAAAATAACGGTTGTGGCCTTTAAAAAATATCATTGCAGTACTGCAAAACAGAAATAAATAATTTTTAAGCCAATCGGATCCTTTATATAACATGTGGTGATTATTGAAATGGCGAAAACAGAAAAACAATTAAACGTCGAGTTTCCAAAATATTCACAAAAGGAATACCCTGTATATTTTTAAATTAAAAAAAAATCAATTTGGAACAAAAAATTATAATTACATAAGTATGTGGAAGTTGTTGAAATAAAGTTTTAATTTGGTTATTTCAACAACCATCAAAAAGTTCAAGTGCTTATATTAATAACAATGTTTATAGTTAACAATTTATGGTATTTATATTTATGCAATGTTAATTTTTTTGTTTCAAATTAAAGTGTCTTTTAAAATATATACAGGGTGTTATGTAATTAATGTTATATATTAAAAACTGAATACCTTTTGACATAAGGAGTAAAGGAAAAATATGTATTTAAAAAAATATTTTTCCAAAGATAAAGAAAAAATATGCATTAGAAGTTTTTTATATTTTTTGTGATACGCCACTGGTTACACACTTGGTTTATCTCTGCACACTTGTGTTCTGTGAGTACATAGATACAATTGTTTAAACCAACAAAATAGCTGCGCGTTGCCAGATGTAAAAAATTGTTATTAAAAATTTTTCTTGCAAAAATTAAATAAAAACTCAATAAATACAAAAGTTTTATGCCCTTAAAGCTCTAATACCCTTCTGTATTTATTTACTCATCGAGCTATTAACTTAAGAAATGATTAGAAAATTTAGTAGCTATTTTAAAAAATCCATGACCACAAAATTAATTTTTTCATCGATTTTTTTCTTTCTATTTACTCGGATGAAATTGGGACCAGTTCACATGTTAACTTAAACATTTAATTTGTGTAAATAAATCCAAAAGCACTTCCCTTAGTTAAGATATTTACAATTTGAGCACATAACCTAAAATTTGAAAGAAATGCACTAGATTCGGTCATAAAAGTTGGTAGATTTTGTTTGAATTTACCTTCAGTACAAAAATGACATAACCAACAATTAATAAAAACGCCAAATTGACAATTTGCATTGTTAATTTTGTCATTTTTGTAATTAAGCTAAATTTCAACAATGTTTGGCAACTTTTTTGACAGAATTTGGAAACTCTGTTGTTACCAACCTAATAAATTAAATTAGGCAACCAGATTAGCCTTAAGTTCCTAGTCGATCAGTGGCGTACTTTTTGGTAGGATAAAGGTTATTATAAATTATTTTTAGTCTTTGGAATTTAGAAAAAAAAAGTATCAGGTGCTTCTTTATGGACCCTAAGGAACAGCCCATTTTAATATATAACATTAATTACATAACATCCTGTATGTAAAAATATTTAGGGTGTTATTTTTGTGAATATTTCGGAAGCCTGACATTCAATTGTTTTTCTGTTTTTACCATTTTAATAAGAGGAAAAAATGCCACCAATTTGCTAATTAAACCAACATTATAGCTTCAGTGATAACATTCGTGGTCCATTAGAAGTTTTTGTGGAACGGAAAAAGATATCGATTTTAAATTTATAAGCGTTTATAATCCACTTAAGTATATCTTTCTTAAATATTTTGAACAAAATTGCCCAGGGCAAATTAGACTAACTTAAAAGGTTAATAACTTTTTTATTTTAAATGTAACACCCCATATGTTTTTACATAATCAAATAGTAAATTAAAAAATCTTTCGATTGATGTTTCTATTTCCTATACTTAAAGTTAATAATTTAACATTTTCTAATATATGGTTACCACGTTATCTGTCATTGTTCAAAATTTAATGGAGTCAATTTTTCAGGTTGTTATAAACAATTTTTTTTTATTAATATATTTTTTTCAAGCGTCCATGATAAACAACCTTATAATATGCATGTATAGAGATATTTGAAGTGCATCTTTTTCATTAGCGGCAGACAAAAAACTCAAAAAAGCCTATAGGTATAGAAGTAACTCCATATATGTCTGCCGCTAATGAGGTGACTCAATAGACGTCAAATAATAAAATTAATTTAGCATTTCATACAAAGCAATCGCGATGTATTAATTATATTAATTAAAATCGCACGGAATATTTAGTAATTATTTATTAAATTTTAATTGAACGAAATAAAGAACAACTAGTTTATTAGTATAATATTATGATGATAGACGAGTCGCCAATGTCGGAACTCCAAACAAATGTCAGTACGTCAAAATTAATTCAAGCGCAGTATTTTGACAGAGCACTTTTATTTTTAGTTTAGGATATTTATCGGCATTGTAAGTATACTTATAAGGGTTATAAGTTTTTTTAGATTTTATCAATAATTTCTAATGCTTTTAGCCAAAATTTTATCCCACATGAGTTATGAGTAAATAAAATAATTCTATTGTTTATCCTATTTATATTACGCCCTTGAAAAAAAAATGGTGTATGTTATTTGGAGTAGAAGCTCTTTTTGTGCTTCGTATAGTTGCCTGCCTCAGCTACGCTTCGGCCGTCAATCTCTGTACTCACCACAAAAAGAGTCACTTCTACTCCTTATGACATAATCTACTATTTATTGTCTCCAATGAGCTAGTGCTTTATCTAGTTGACATCCTACAGCTTTGTTGATAAACTTTATTAATTTAATATTTGATTAGGTTAAAACATACCGGGTGTTACATTTAAAATAAAAAAGTTATTAAAGTTTTAAGTTAGCCTAATTTTTCTTGTGTATACATATAGTAAACCGGACTATAATGAGTTTTAATTAAAAATAGGTATAGACCAGGGTCGATAATTTTTGAAACCAAAAAAAATAACAGTAGGATGAAACCCATTGGAAAAGGAAAAGAATATAATAAAAATGAAAGGAAAAATAAATTACGGGCGATCTGACTTCGCGAAGTGGGAGGGGGGGGGTTTAAGGGTAAAAAATGGTTTATCTCGATTTCCGGCCAAACTACAAGTCCTATGGAAAAAAGTTAAATGGCAAAGTTGTAGGTAATAAAAAGATCTACAACTTTTATATTTACAATTTTTTCACATAACCTCAAAATTTATGTGAAAAATTCAAAAAAGTTTTTGGTTTTTTATTTTATCTTTTTCAAAAAAAATTTTTTTTCCACGAAATTTGGTGAAAACTTACCTTTTTATGTCCCAAATACACTGTAATTTATTTGATTTGAAATATTTATTATTTCGCCTTATTTTGACTTAATATCAAAAAAGCACCCTAATTTTCAATCGAAAATTCTCTCGTCAAAATATCAGCTTTTTTCAAAAAGTCGGTGTGCTTTTTGTTCGTTGAAATCTCTACTTTCTGATGGTGTAAAAAAAATATACATTACTATGGTAAATGTTCTCAGAAAATGCAAAAAATATTATAATGAATAACGAAAAAAACTCGAATTCGAAAATTTATTTTAATCATTATGTACAATTTCATCAAAAAAATGTGATTGTTGCAATTTTTTTTAGTTAAAAAGTTTATTTATTAAATTCTAATAACATTTATGTCAGAAAATCTCATAAAATATAAAAATACATGTAAATCATACTATTGAATTTAGATACTTCATTCTGATTACGTTATTCATTATAATATTTTTTGTATTTTCTGAGAACATTTACCATAGTAATGTATATTTTTTTTACACCATCAGAAAGTAGAGAGTTCATCGAACAAAAAGCACACCGACTTTTTGAAAAAAGCTGATATTATGACGCGAGAATTTTCGATTGAAAATTAGGGTGCTTTTTTGATATTAAGTCAAAATAAGGCGAAATAATAAATATTTCAAATCAAATAAATTACAGTGTATTTGGGACATAAAAAGGTAAGTTTTCACCAAATTTCGTGGGAAAAAATTTTTTTTGAAAAAGATAAAAATAAAAAACCAAAAACTTGGTTTTTTGAATTTTTCACATAAATTTTGAGGTTATGTAAAAAAATTATAAAACAAAAGTTGTAGATCTTTTTATTACCTACAACTTTGACATTTAACTTTTTTCCATAGGACTTGTAGTTTTGCCGGAAATCGAGATAAACCATTTTTTACCCTTAAACCCCCCGCCCTCCCACTTCCCGAACTCAGATCGCCCGTAATTTATTTTTCCTTTAATTTTTATTATATTCCCCTCCTTTTCCAATGGTTTCATCCTACTGTTATTTTTTTTCTCTTTTTACCATTTTTAAAGGCTTCTGCACTGGTCTAGTAATAAAAATTCTTAGAAATAATTATTTATGTGCACAAACGTGGCAAATATTTATAAAAAGGAATAATAAATAATGTTATGAAAGAACCTTTGCAAAGTAGTTTTTATAATAATTATTTTTAAAAAAATAAATAAAAAATTACAGGAAAGAATACTTCCATTAGATTTATATGTCGACCCATGCAACGAAGACTACTAGAGTAACTCAACTTAATATAATTTTCGCCTGTAGGAATGTGGATTATTACACTTACTATACAGGGAAGTTGCTCACTGGTTGCTCACTGGTTGCCTAGGTATCGTTTCATGTCTGAGTTACTGTAATCTTCCACCAAATAGAGCTTGAAAAAATCTGGTGATGCCATATAGTAACTATTAGTAAGTCAAAACCCACGTTTTTGAGTTACTATGGTCTTTATGGTATTTATAAATCTTATAAGATCACCCGAAATTTACCTCATTGGTTAATGATGAATTAATGCTAAATTTCATTGGTTCCTTTCTTTGTGATTTGGATATAAAAAATAAATAAATTTGGTTGAGACGAGACTCGAGAAAAGA